TTAACCTGGGCCTGGATTACTGAAACAAATTACTCCTAATTTGGCCCCCTGCCTCTAGTCTTGCTTCCCTCCAATGCATTCTTGATACTGCACTGAGCGAGCTTTCAAAAATGCAAATCTAATTACACAGTTCCCAATGCCTAATAAATTCCAAGCCCATTGCTTCCTGAGGCAGCAATAATGGGTGCCTGTGAATTTTTAAAAATTATTGTACAGTAACGTTGGTTCTTTGTGGTGTACAGTTCTATGAATTTTAAGACATGTTTAGATTCTGTGGCCACCACAACCATCACCCAAAAAACTCCCTTATAGTGATGTACTCACACACCTTGTTTTTTTTATTGTGAAATAAACTCACACATTCTTAACCCCAGACAACCACCGCTTTATTCTCCATAGCTATTGTTTTGTCTTTTCAAAAAAAGGAATGCAATCTTTTAAAAAAGTAAAACAAAACCCAAGCCCCTTAAAATGGCTTTAATGCCTCTGCCTACCTCTCCTCCCTCACCTCCAACAACTACCCCCCACCCCTTGCAATTAAACTGAACTATTTTCACTTCTTGGGGGAGCTTCAAGCTTTCTTCCAACTAGGCAACCTCCTCCCAACTCTTTTTGAATGGCGGGGTCTTCCTCAGTGCTCCAGTGTCCACCACTTCCTCCATTATAGCACGTTTCACTCTGTTGTAACGGCCAAGTTATTTGTCCGTCCCCCAACTGACAGTTCTTTCCACGCAGGGACTGAGTTTTAGGCATTGCTATCCGCTTAGCATCCATGGATGGGCAGAGCTCCGCCACTCCCAGCCCCCAAAGTCACTGCATTCGCCAGGGTGTCAGACGCTCAGAGGCCCGCGCCGGACGCAGGGCTTCCAAGGCAGAGAGAGCATGCGCACCAGGAGGGACCGCCCCGCCCCCTGCGCGGGGCCCGGGGGTCGGGCCTCGGCCGCTCACGCTCCCCTCCCCCACCCGGACTCCTCTTGCGCGCTGGGGACAACCGTTGCAGGGCGCCCTGGGTCCTGGGGTAGGACCGTCGGGCGCCGACGCCCAACTCTTTCGGCCGTGAGGTACCCGGCCTGCTGGCCCTAGGACGTTTCCGTCGCATGGCGGAGTGCTGCAGACGATGCCCATGAAGTCCTTAGTCCTTCTAGTTGCGCTGTTGCTATGGCCGTCGTCCGTGCCCGCGTATCCGAGTGAGTGACCGGCCCGAGGCGGCAGGGACTCAGGAGACACCCCTGAGGGAACCTCCGGGCTCCCGGACCCGCCTGAGTACCCGCTCTTTTTTTTGCCCCGGTCCTACACGCCTCCCAAACCCCACTGTCCAGGGTGCTGCCTCCGATGCCGAGGTGCGTCCCTCTCCTCCTCGTCCTCCCCGACCTGCGCGCCTCGGGGCTGACCTGGCAACGCCGTGAGCCAGGCAGCGGGTCCCAGACTGGACTCGTGGGGGGACCTCCTCACCCCAGCGGAGACGCTCCTTGATGTGAACCCTGTCCCCTCTTCACCGAAGCGATGGCGCTCGTGGAATAAAGCACGGGGGGGGGGGGGGGGTAAACTGCGGCCAGCCGGCCGAGGCTGCCTGTTTTCGTATGGCTGGCCGACTAAGAATGGTTTTTACATTCTCAAATGTGAATATGAAATGCGATCTTTCGTGACATGTGACAAAGTATGAAATCCCAATTTCATTGTTCATCAATAAAGTTTTATTGGAACACAGCCACACGCATTCCTTTATGTATTGTCCAGGGCTGCTTTCCTGCGTTGTAACTGCAGAGTTCAGTAGTTGCCACAGCGACAGGATGGCCTGCAAAGCCTAAAATACGTACTGTCTGGCCTTTGACAGAGAAAGTTTAATCCCTGTGGTGAAACATGGAGAACATGTGGCCTGTGGGCAGCAGTCGGGGACACTTACTGACCCCCTATGCACTTCCACAGAGCGTCCTCGGGAGCAAGGCATTCAAAACCCCAGTGAAGCAGAATTCTAGCTCCCCAGTAGCTGAAAACGGATAAGGTCAAATTCAGGGGTGCTAAGACTACTAGATTAGCATCATGAGGACAGCTTGAGGTATTTAAGTCAAGTGTCTGATCTGATATTCCAGATATGACTTGAGGTTTGTCCATCTCTAGTCTAACTGTATTGTAGCATTTTGTAAGGTTGGGGTTTGGTTTAACCAAATAAATAAAATTTAATAGGTAGGTGTTAAAAAGCATGCTGGCTGTGCACAGCTATATTTCAGAATCGTCAAAAAGTCTTAGTTAAAAATTATATTTTAGAAATGAAGATACAACACAACCTAAATCATGAATAGTAATGGCAAAAGTTCTGAATAAAATGTCCTAGATAACTAAAGTTACCCCCTTAAATACTAGAGCTTTTGATTGTTAGCTGTTTTAAACAGTGTTTTGAGTTTATCTCTTTGTATAGCCTAC